TCTTTTTCTCAGAGCAGGGTGGTTGAGGCCCAAGGAGGAAAAGGGACAGGTCCACCCTGGGAAATGAGAGGAGACTTTGGACTCCACACCTGGTATTCTCCTAGCCACCCAGAGTCTTCCACAAAAGTCATTGGGAGACACACCATGTAGGCCAGTCGGTCGTGGGAAAAGAGCCTTGGCTTCAAGAGCCCCAGGCCCAAGGGAGGCAAGTGTCAGCTCATTCTCTCACACAAGCCTGCCCCACAGGCCCTGCTTGGAAGGCTTCCCAGCAAGATGTGACATAAAGCAGCTGACTCTGGATGCAGCCCGCACCAGGAGGGAAGTGCTCCTAGGGACAGCTACCTCAGTGTCCAAGTCCTTGCACCAGCAGGTTCCAGAAGATGCCAGGGCTGTATCCAGGGTCCCAGGCTCTGGATCCTAGATACAGGGAGACCTAACCCACTGTCCCAGAGCCTGGGTCTCATTTTGCCTAACTAAGGAAGGTCTGGAGGATTGGTTCCTCCCACCACATGCAACTCAACTTGCCTCCCTCAAGTGTGAGATACAACTGCCACCAAGTCCCACAGGTGAGTAGAACTGGATGGCAGTGGGGTTGGCCCTAGGCCAAGTCACTTCACAGTCAAACTCCCATAGCCCGATGTGCATGACTAGATCTGTTTCTGAGCCACAGACACACCCTGGGCACCTCCCATTTCACCCTCACTGAAGCTCTTTCTGTTGGGTGTTCCAGTGCAAGTCCAGAGTACCCCGTGGTGGTTCCAAGGCAGACTGTACCTGTGCTGGCAGCTCCAGGTGGTCTTAGGGTGGGAAGGTATCAGATGGGGTGTCCCCCATCCCCTCCCGTTTGTATGTCTGTCTATACAGCACTCTGTTAACTCCCTCCCAGCAGCTAAATATCTCAGACTCAGAACAAGCTTTGATGTGATAAAAGCAATGTTAAAAGAAACCCAGCCAGACTTCCAAGTAGAAAGCCAGGGTTCCTCTACTTGCCTCACACTGGTTCCATTGGATGGGCAAGGAAGCAGGCACACAGAACTTGAGTGACCTACCCTTTGCCAGCTGCCGGGATGGTGCCCGTTGCCTACCGCACTGCACCTCACAGATTTCCTTCCCAGCATCTAGTGCTGTGTCCCCAGCCCTAAACCCTGTAGCTCCTGCCTCCTTCCAGCAGGAAACAAACATCCAAGGAAAAGGCTAAAGGTCACAGGATGAGGGCCAAACAGTCGCTAAGTGTACAAGCCCTGCAGCCTATGAGGACCATGCCTGATGGAGTGCTTCCATCAGTGACCAGATGATGTGGGCCCTGGGGGGCTCCATGCTTGCCTTCATGCTCCACTCAAGGGTGATCTGAGGAGAAGGGGACCTGACAACCTAGAGCCTCTGCCAGGGCAGCCATGTTTCTCTGCCTTCAGTTTGGGAGCACACTTCTCTCCAAACCACAAAACAGAAGGAAGACAATTTTCTTAGCCCTGGGAAGAGTCTTGTCCAGGTTTCTTCAAGTGGGCACCAGGGCTGTGCACGGAGGTCTCCCCGCTCAAGGACTGGTAAGAAGGCAGAGTGGAACAGGTGAGCTGAGAGAGGACAGAGGAGAATTGGGTGCAGAACCAACTCAGGAGTAGGACACCCAATGTTGCACACAGAACATTTACCAAAACGGGCTGTGCATTGTCCCAGAAAAAAGTTTTGTACATTTTAAAAGACTGAAACGATTGCATTCTGACGAAGACAGAATCCAGCTAGAAAGTTTAGCAGGGACTGATATGGGAAATCCCAATACTTGGAAATTCAGCACCTTGTAAAACATCACAATTTAAAGATTGGTTTATTTTCATGTGTATGGAGTATTTGCCTGCATGTATATCTGTACACCATGTGTATGTCCTGTCCAAGGAGGCCAGAGGGGCACTGGACCCTCTAGAAGTGCAAGAGCAGCCAGCGCTCTTAACCACTGAACCATTTCTCTATCCCTGTGGTTTACTTTGAAAGGATCTCTGACATTTCTGGGTAGAGAACAGATGACAGAAGTAGAGAAACCCAAAGGAACTCTCAGTGAGTGGAGTCACAGACCGAGTGCCAGCAGTAGAGGCCCCAGAGGGGCAGCACAAAGGGCAGGTAAGGGGCGTTCAGGGTAGAGTGCTGGGATGAAAGAGGGGAGGCTGTGTGGGGCCCCAGGAGCCTAGAGAACAATGAATTTTAGTGCTCAGCGTTAAGGTGGGATTCCCCCCTCAGCCTGTGAGGGATTAGGTGGGAAGATCACCCTAACTGCTAAGCTAAGAACCAGCATATATTACTCTGCCTCCTGACTTTGGATCTGCTGTGTAACCACTTTCCTAAGCTCCTGAGGCCATAACATCATGGCTAGGACAGTGAGCTAAAATACACCTTCATCTAAACTGTCTTTATCAGATATTTTATCTCAGCAACAATACGAATGACCACAGAAAATCAGTACTGAGAATTAGGCTCATTGCCACGATCCACTTGACAGTTTGCTCTTTAGGTCTTTGGGACTGTTGCGAGAGGAATGTGAGTTTGAAACTTTGGGCCAGAAAATCTCTCGAATCTTATAAGCAGAGATCAATAGGCTATTCTGGAAGGAACCTGGAAGACATGCATGCTGAGAGAGATGAGGGCAGTGGAGGCCCCTTCATGAGGTTCCAGAGGGACAGGGACTCTCCTAGGAACTGGGCTGGAGACCATTCAAATTATATTCTAGCAAAGAATCCTTTTCATTCTGTCCATCTCCCAAGATCTTGAGTGCAGCTGAACTTAAAGGAAATGAACTGATGTGTTTGATGGAGGAATGCCAGAGAAAGTACAGCATTCACGCTATGGATGGCTACTTACCACAGTTAACATACCCAGAGTGAAAAAATGAGCAAACAAGGCAAAAAGATGTAAAAAATTCACGGTTCAATGGGGGAAAATTCAAGCAATTTAAAAAGTCTCAGAAAGAGCATGCCTACAGCAACTGCTGTAGCTGCTGAGCACTGAGGAGAAACTGGTGCTCTAGGTAAGGAGGGGTCCCCTGCTCAGGGTCAGCTCACAAAGGCCAGCGGTCCAAAGGCCCCAGGCTGCAGAGCTGGCTGGCAGCATTGTTCACACTGTACTGCTGAGGCCAGGCAGTCTGTGGCAGTCAGCGTCCCTAGAAGGCCCTGAAAGGCTACTATGCGAAGCTGTGAAGACAAAACCCCATTTGCAGTGAAGACTCAAGGATGTTAAGAGTTCCGAAGCATAGGACCTCTGCTGGGGAAAGAGAGAGGCTGTATGTGCAGCAGGGGCAGAGCTGGAAGCCCTTTGTAGCCCAGAGATTTCATTACCAGCCCCAGCTGCCAGACATGGAGCTGTGTCTGTCCGTCTCACTTTGGTCTGGTCTTCCTTACTATGCACCCATGCTTCTCTTTTGGGTATGGGGATGTTTACTCTGAACTGGTTTATAGGTTAGATACTTTGAGCCTCAGATAAGACATGGGCTCTGGACTTTTGAAAAATGTTGAAACTGTTAAAGACTATGGGGACTTTTGAAGTTGGACTAACATATTTTGCATTGAGATAGCCATGAGCCTATGGAAAGGGGTAGGAAGTTGTGACTTAAAATTGCTGTTTGGACATCAAGTTGGCAAGGGGTAGACTTGTAATGTCAGACTGACAGGGTCCAGAGTCACTTAGGAGACAATCCCCTGCCCATACCTGTGAGGGTTGTCTGTACTTAGCCTTTGGGGAGGTCTGTGAGGAATTACAGATTAGCTGAGGTGGAAAGACCCACTCTAACTGTGGACAAGTAAAGGAGAGCTGAGCACCAGCATTCAGCTCTGCTTCCTGGTTGTGGACACAGCATGATCAGCTACCTCAAGCTCCTGTCTGCATGACTTCTCTGCCACGGTGGACTTTACCCCTGAGCCAAAACCCTGCCTTCCTCAGGCCGCCAGCCAGGCATTTTGTTGCTGGATGAAACAGGTCGCTAATGCAGGCTGCTACCAAGAATTCTGGTTCACAGAACTTCTGCAGCTGCTATTTAATGGACAGGAAGAATGTCAAGGGAAAGTCTATTTGGGGCTTGGGAGACTGCAATGCTCTCTGGATACATCTAGGTGTTCAAAGAGGGGTCTCAAATGTGTCCCTGGGAGAGAGGTGGGTATGTCTGGGAAGATTTGCTGGCACATAGTTTTGAGCCTGCATGAGTTGGTGAAAGTAAACTTTGACTCATCCCATTCTGAGGAGAGAGGAACAGTCTAGAAAGATGGGCTTTTCCAGTCTGAAGAGCCCAACTTACCATTGTCACACAGGAATGAAGTTGGACCCTGGACAGTGACTGCCTGTGGGCCAGTGAGAAGGCTGAGGAAAAAGATATTGACAAAAGACCTGACCTCTTTTTGGATGTGTGAAAACGGATTACAGAAATGGTTACACAAACCACTGAATGCTCCAAGACCCACTGAATTGTGGGAGAGTCAATAGTGTGCCGTGTTGAGGGGACTCTGAAGCCGCTCAGATCTGTCCCCTGGGTTTTGCAAGTGGAGGTTATTGGTGACTCAACTGTCATCTGCCCAGGACACAGAATCAAGAGCTACTTGAGTAGGGAGAGGGACCTAACATGCCACCAATGTGAGGGGAGCAGGCTGCAGGAGAGCAGAGAGGCTGACAGTGAGGCAAAGGCACACGGCTGCCCGAGGCAGCGTGGACCTTGGAACCACACTAGCTGAAGAAGGGCAGAACGTGCGCAGAGGCACAAAGGAAGCCTGCAGGGCCTCGCCGTTTGCTAAGTTAGGGATGAGCTACGGGAGGAAAGGCAGACCAGACAGCTACAGGTCTGCATCCCTTCTGCTCAGACAGTTTTAAAGGAAACACTACCCTCTGGATAGTATACTAGGCCACTCTGAGGCCACCTGACACTGGTGGACAGGACTTTTTCAGCCCCACCAAGCGATAGGAATGCATCTCCTTGTGCTGGACTGGCACGTACACAGCTATACTCGTGAGAAAAACAACACAGACTCAGCTTCTATTGCTGAACACCAGTATGTCACTTTATTATTGGATTACTTCCCACCTGTCACATACCTGTCAATGTTCACACAAGGAGAAAGACTGGCCAGAACTAGAGGCAACTGACCAATCAGCCGACAAGTTTGTGTTCTCAGCGCACACCAACTCTGACTCGGTAGGACATCTTTGTTCAGTCTCATGACTATTAAAATCGGTGTCAAGATTGTCACATCTTTAAATACAGATAGAATTCCAGAAGTACATAATTATATATATACACACAGAAAAATACAAGACTAACTTTTCCCACAATATTTAATTTATACACTACTGTAACTCTATGTGACTTCTGAAGACAGGTTAGGGGACAAGTCACTTGGTTAGAGCAAGAAGTAGTTTGGTCCACTATTGGTGTGATGGTGTTCTGCTCCCTCCCTGTGACAATATCCCATGACATACAACACATGCACAGACATCCACTTGTCAACAAATGGGTAAGACACCACTCAACAGACATTTATGTACCCAAAGGGTCACCAACCACACACAACTAATAAGGCTATGATACAGCTCTGCAGCATAAATGGCCAACACTGCTGATCTAAAGTGAGCACCGTATATACACCTGAATATAAAAACCACTGGAGACCAAACGCATACAGTTGAGTTCAGAGGCGCCACTCCGAGGCTGGACGTGACCACAGAGGAGTATGTACATTACTTGGAAAACAGCTGCGACAAAGTTTATTGCAATGCCCCTTATAAACATCTCTCCTTGCTCACACAGACGTGGTTCTCACTATCTCTGTGAACCACACTGGTTTCTGGCCCTTTGAAGATCCCTGCTTAAGAATTTCAAGCAAATATGTTCTATGGCTTCACCCACACATCTATCTTCATCGCGTTCAACTATATAAATGTCACGCTGAATGGGACTGTAGCTTAAAGCACAAGCAGTTAGCCTAGGTCTAGGAAGTATCTTAAGTATCATTTTACTTAGTATAGTCAGGTTATACTGTGAAGTTCTGAGTAATATACATTAACCCTAAAGTAGCAGAGTCTGAGCACGGAAGAAAGTGACTGGCCTGTGCCCTGCCCGCTCTGAGGTACATGGTCAGCTGCACCTCTGTCGTCACTCAGAGTCAGGAAAGGAAGCTGGAGAGTGGGAGGGACCCTGGGCCCCGGACACCTGCCCCACAGGTCACTTGAGCACTGCTTTCAAACCCTCTAGGGCACAGTGAAAAAACAAAACCAGCATCTGGGCTTCCCAAGATCAGGGAAGACAGTGCATCAGAGAAGATGCCTTGGGAGATGATTATCAGTCCGGACTAGAACTCTGATCAGTGTGTGGCAGGAAGGCGGCACAGCGCCACAGGCGGGCTACGGAGCACCACCCTTTCCTGCGTAGTTTCTCCTCAGCTGCGCTTTGCAGCGGAGCCCAATGCTGCCATGGAACGGAAGAAACCCGAGGCCGCCTGCCACCAAGCTCCTGAACAAACCCCAGGAAGTTCTGTTTAGTGTCAGCCTTGACTGGGCTGCACTGTGGCTACTGCAGCAGACCCTCCAGTCTCTCGTCTCCACACAGGTCTGAAGGAAACCCTGCTGTGTGTCCTGCAGGGGAAACTTACACAGAGCCTCTTTCTGTTGACACAGACAGACACACTCTAGAGTTAAGAGTTCACCTCATCACCTCACAAAAGATTGTCTCCTTGTATTCTACGGGGAAGCTGCCTCACAAAGCTAAGTGGCTGACCTCACCTACTACATACAAGAAATCTTTGTCAATGAAAATGTGAGAGCCCCAACTGTTTTCACACGATCGCTTAAGACAAACAGGTGTGGGCGCTCAAACCGTGGCTTGGTTCTTGGTGCACAGGCCCTGGGTGGCTGGCAGCGGCTGTTGCTCCTCCCAGGCCTGTGGGCATCACCACGTTATTGCTTTGGTTCTGTCTCGGGCACCAGTGTGCCTCAGAGCATGGAGTTTCCCTATCACCGGAGGTCAGGACAGGAATTTGGGCTTTTTCACAAGGAAACGAAAGCATTTTCCCTCCAGGTTAAGTGCAGAACATGAATTTCTAAGCGCTCCATTTACGTTGGATTCCAGATATACAATTTCATCCTGGTCATCCACACTGAAATCATGAATGTAAAATCACACAGTAGACTTTTCGGCTGGAAAAGAAAAGTAGCGTGTAGCAGCATGCACAAAGACCATGCACTGTCACGTCGGAACAAATGAAGTGAGCGGAGCGAGCGCGCTTTACAGGTCAGATGACGTGGCAGCAGCTGGCCGGGCTGGAGGCACACAGCAGCCCTTCCTTGCGGCTGCGCTGGATGTTCACCGAGATGGTCTTTTCGCACAGAGGTAGCTGGAGCACGTTGTTCCGCAGCTTCTTGGTCCTCACCGGGTCCAGGTCAGCAGAGGGGCCGGGGCCCGGGGTGCTGATGCACATCTTCCACGTGGACTTCTCCTGCACCTTCACGCTGGAAAACAAGGCCTTCTGCGGGTCCAGAATGTACTTGGCGCCGTGCAGCTGTGAGCCGAGGCACAGGCTCACAAGTTTGAGGCTCTGCACAAGCTCCGCACCGCGTGGAGCGGCGGAGGCCGAGGCTGGGGAGGATGAAGAGGAGTCGGGGCCCGCGCAGCGCCTGGAGGAGCCCGCTGCACCTGATGGGGTCCCGCCTGAGCCGCCCTGGCCGCCGCCGCCCGTGCCCTGCTCGCCCGGGCTGGTCTTGTCCGCCCCACCGCCGCTGCTCGGCTTGCTCTGGCCGCCGCCATCGCCCTCGCTGCCCGGCGGCCCCTCGCTGCTGTCGCGCCGGTGCCAGGAGTAGGCGAAGCCGCTGTCCTTGTCCAGCCGCCGGCGGCTCTCGGAGTCGTCGTCGCTGGTCTCCGAGCTGCTGCAGCTCGAGCCGCGGCCCTGGCTTTTCCTGCGGTGGTAGCGCTTGTGCACGGTGCCCGGGGAGGCGATGTTCATCTTCAGCCGGCTCAGCTTGGGCGGCAGGTTCTCGTCCATGTCGAACTCGTCGTCGGACTCGCCCTCCTCGAAGATCTGGTTGAGCACCGGGGCGCTCTTTCGAGACGTCAGGCGGTTGGTGACCGACGGCTTCCGGCGCAGCACCACCTGCGTGGACAGGGACACGGGCCTCTTGTCCTCCTCGTCCTCCTCCTCGTCTTCCTCCACCCTGAAGAGGCACTTCCGCCCACTGGCAGCAGCAGGCTTCAGGCTCGCGGGCGGCACGGTGGACAGCGCTGGCCCGGCCAGCTCTGGGAGCTCGTCTTTCTTGGCCGAGTCGCACAGGCCTTTGCCCCTGTGTCCATTAAGAACACTGTCAGCAGCCCGAGCAGGGGACTGTGGGACTGTGGCGTGTGACAGAGGGGTGGCAGTGAGGTCATCCTCAAGGTCTTGGGGCACGTCGATTTTGGTTGGCCATGACTGCCTGTGTGACAGAGGAAAAACAACCGTCATGTAGCGGCTGGCCTAACGGGGGACACACCGCTCCCCAGCGGGTGGGGTGTTTGCTGCCCAAGTGTGAGGGCCTGTCTTCGAGTGAGCCACCCGGATCAGCGGATCAGCACGGCAGGCTGAGCGCCCCTGTGATCCCAGCACCACCGCCCTGGTGGATGGAGGCTGGATTAGCTGCGGATCACTGCCCAGCAACCCTGCACACTCGGCAGAGAAAACCGTTTCAAACAAGGTGGGAGGAATGAGGCCCTCCATACACAAGCCGAGGCACACACGCCCTCACACACACAGCCAGGGCAAAATCCACAGATGTAAAAGCACTTCAGGTCCATCATCAAGGACACCAGAGGGGAGATGTGGCTGCTTCATCACACCACAGCTATCAGAGAAGAGCATGGGGAAACACAAGCTCTCCTAACCTCACTACACACTTCTATACATCCCTGAATACACACACCCATGCACACACAATCACACACGTACACCTTCATACATGCTCGTATACACACATACAAACATGCTCACCTGCATACACTATCATCTACGCATATACACACACGCACACCTAAATACAAACATCCAGATATACTCTCTCACATATACACACATGCATGCATGGACAGACTCATGCACACATGCTCACCACACATACCATCACACACACACACATACTCTGGCTCTCACAGTGCAGATGAGATTCACCTGGAATGCCCAACGCGGACTTCATGGATGGTATGGAAGCTTGGCATTGATCAGAGTTAATGGAAATGGATAACAGACTTAAACGCAGAGTACTGCAGACAAATCTGTAATTAACAGCCTCGCTAGTATAAACACCTAATTCTCAATACCCACACGAGGGTACCAGATAGCAGAGCTGTTAATTAGACATGGTCTTTCAATCTGGAGGTGCCGGTGTGGGAGGCTCTAGACTGCCTGAGGTTCCTGATGCTCTTCTCTGTTGAGGGAAGGTGGACACCAGAGGCTGTATTCACAGCAGCTGCCTTCATAGTGACCTCTTCACTTCACACCAACTAAAACTGCAGCTGTAAAGTATCTTTGCACAGACTGGTTCTCAGCAGCTGCGGGGGAGGAAGAACCACCAGCTGCCCCGGCCACTGCTGGAGGTCAGTCGAGCTTACGGCCACCAAGTGAGGGAAGAGCCAGCCAGACACTGAGCACAGGACCTGCAGTCAGGCCAAGAGGAGGAGCAGCAGCATGGCAGGACCCACCGAGGAGCCACACCCAGAGAGAGCCTTGGCAAACACCTGGTGAACACTCTCCCCACCACTGGCTGTCACTGTGAAAAAAAATCACACTGTTTGGCTGCTCACCTTTCCTGAGCATATGACATATGACTCACCTGTCCAAAATGGTGACAGTTGGCAGCCAACAGGGCAAAGATCATATCTTAATGGAAGAGAAGAAAAACCACCAGAGAAAATGCAAATGAAACTGAAAAAGATGATGGAGAGTGCATGGAGGGAGAGCTTACTCATGTCAGGCTCTGAGAGCCTTGCAGGCCATTTTCTGAAATGCACAGTCAACAAAGGAGGTGTTCTAGCTACTTCCTTCTGCAGGTAAAGAACCCAAGACTGGTCACACAGGCGTGAAGGGCAGTGACTGCTGACCCTCAGGGCAGGCTTCACTCCATCAGTGAAGGCTCTGGTTGGTGGCTCCAATAAGAAGCCCTGCCTAGTCTAACTCACTGAGCCCCTCCTCACCTCAGGAGGTCAACAGTGGTACTCAGCTAAATCAGAGATGTTATGTCTTCCTGAGATCCAACAGCTAATACATCAACTAACTGATCTAGCTGTCCAATCTCTGAAATCCTAAATGCCCTGTCTTAAAGGACATAAGAGGTGAGGAACCAGGTACTAGGAACCACCCACCTCCTACACACAGCAGAGGAGCAGGTGTTACCTCCGTGGAGGCAGCTGTCATCACCGTGAGGGTGAGGACCCTCCTAACCTGCAGAATTATGAAGCATCAACAGACAGTTCCCTATTTCAAAACGTTAGCTTACTAATATCAAACAGGTGTTTTTCTCACCTAAACTGGGCCTTGATGTTGCTGGGGCTTGAGGATCTGGTCTGTATTTCTTTCTCTTGCTTTTCTCTCAGGATCCTTTCAGCAAGTAAGAAGTAAGTGGCTGTGATGTGGTTGTACCTGTTGGTTTCCAGGGCTCTGAAGAAACAAAGCAAGAGCAATCAGAAGTCACACAGCTAGGTTTTTACAAGATTGTGTATATACATATGAGAGAGACATACATACATACATACATACATACATACATACATACATACATCCTAATGAAATCCAGTATCTGGGAAGCTTTTAAAACAAGACAAAAATATAAACTAGAAAGAACTAAATCCTGTAGTTACTTAGGTTGTTACTGAAATCCAAAAACAGCAACTGAATAAAAATGTTCAGATCAGTGAGGAAAGAGCAAACTGCTGACGTAGCTGGACCAATATCAGCATTCCAGACACAAGAAAAGGCAACAGGCTTCTAAGAGCATGTGTGTTTTCTGGAAACATGGCTGGCATGTGGAGCCGATTTTTGCTGAGGAGGATCCTTTGCTTCCATGAGAAGAATGGACTAAAGACACCCTGTGAGCCATGGTCAATCAGAAGGTTGGAGGTGTTTTTACTTTGAATGTGATCTAGAGGGTGCTACTCTCTCCCTTTCCTTGAGTAAAATCATGTGTTTGTTCATCCATTTAAACAACAGTGCTCATAGGAGACCATGTCAGGCTCCATGGTGGCTAGGTGCTGGGACATAACCAACAGCACAGGTCTTGCCCACCTCCTGCAGCTGGCTGTCATGAGACAACCTCACAAGGCTTAGGAACACACAGCTCTGGGTTCTGGAAGCCTCTGGCTTAGGAAAACTGCAGTATGCATGAGAAATACAGGTTCAAGATCACTCTGAAACATACAGGGCACCGCTGGTGGGCCAGGGAGTCCTGGGGTGAGACTCAGGGGATAGCCTTTAAGACATGTGGGCCTTTCAACTCAGGAACTGCTCTCAGAATAAGCAGATTCTCAGAGCTTGAGCAGTCAGCAAGAAGTAAGACTGGCTGGGAGCCAACTGCTTGGCAAGCGGCAGTCACCTATGGGCTTGTAACAGTGTGCAGGTCTGACACACCACTGCACACATAGCTACACAAGCGACTCCAACAACGGAACAATGCTTTCTACACATCCCGAGAGTGAGTGTCCTGCACTTGTTCAGGTCACTTAGGTGGCTGGACACCAACCAGGGACACTCACAAGCACCTGAGATCCTGCAGGAAACTAACCCCAAGATTAAAAGCCTGGCTTTCTTTCTGCAAATCTTTATTTTTACTGTACTAAAGCTACTCTAAAGGGGTGTGTCCTTTCTACAGGTATCTTTCCCAGAGACCAGAGCTCCCACTGGACACGTCTGTTAACAGCCAACACACAAGGTCTCCACGTCAAGCCTGTGCCCACTTCTTTCCCAGGTCAGGGAATCTGAGATCCACAGCAGACCCAAGAGGCCACCCCATGGTTACTTCTTTCTTGCTTCCCTGAGTCGGGGCATCTGTTTCATTAAACACATTAAGTAACTGCTGCTCTTCATCTGTGGAAGTGCTCTATTATTTTCAGACAGGGTTTCTTATCAAACTGACTCATCACTAGAACAGAGCAGAAGTACTGTCATTCTGCACTTTCTTGAACTGCACTACTGAAGTTACTAAAACGGTTCTTGTTTTGATGGATTTCATGAGCAACTATGTGATATGCAGGTTTCAGGATGCTGCAGAGAGGCCCCAAGGAGTAGACAGCCAATCCTTTGGGCTTGGGGCCACTCTGCCCTGTGCAGTACAGTGCAGTCCGAGAGCACATAACAATCCCACTGGAGCCACACACAAAGGCATGCCTGAGCCTACCACGGTGCCCTGACCTCTGCCCTCACAATGGGACCAAGGGACGATGGCGACACTTCTGTGGACACCGCACACTGAGACGCGACCCATCCTCTTCCCCTCCACTCTACAGACATCAAGAGAGGCCAGGGTACCTACTCACTGACACCATCTGGCAATGGCGTACCTGTCCACTACAATAAGAGGAAACAAAGTGCAAGTGCCAGACCCTAGGCCAGGAATGCTGGAGGACAATGACACAGTGGTTGCCAGCTGGGAACTCCATCCATGCTGTGGCTTAAATGTGGAATGTCCCCATAGGCTCGTGTTTGAACACTTGGTCCCCAACTGATGGCATGTCTGGGAAGACTATGGCACCTTTAGGAAGTGAAGAACTGGAGAAGTGGGCCACTGGGGGCAGACCTTGGAGTTTTACAGCCTGGCCCCAATTCCTGTTTACTCTCTGCTTCCTGATGGCAGATGCAGCGTGACCAGTCAGCCTCCTGAACCTGCCACATGCCTCCCCACCACAATGGACTATATCCCCTCAACTACAGGCCAGAGTTAAACCCTTCCTCACGTCAAATGCTATTTGTCAAGCACTACTCAGTCACAGTCATGAGAAAAGCAAGCAGCATGACCCGTCCATGTCTATGGAGAATGAGAACCCTAGACCTCTGTCTCTAGTACTGACAGACAGACGTACTCTACGATGGCGTCCCGGTCTGCAATGTCCCCGAGCACCATGCGCTGGATGATGCTGTTGTGCTCCTCTTCTGAGAGGTTCTTGTAGGACACGAGAGGGATGTTATACTTGGTGGCTGGTGAGGGGTCCACTCCCTGGAGCCAAGGGTGGCTTTCGATCTCTTCCAGAGAGGCTCTCCTTTTGGGGTCTCTCTGCAGCATTCGTGTGATCAGGCTGTGAAGAAAGGAAGCAAACTGTTTGCAAACACTAGCAATGATGAGTGTCACCAACAAGCACCGTTTCTTACATAGTCACAATTTCTAAGTCCACTGGCAAATGAGAATCTGGTGCCACCATATTTATAAAATAAAACAATCTCAGCCTCCTGGTGTACTGTTGAGGAACACAACTCCCTACAGTTTAAAAGTACCTGGAGATATCAGCCTCTGCCTCTTAATAACAAGCTGGCCTAGTAGACATCAGACACAGCATTCCAGCTTGTTTCACAGCAATGAATGACTCTCCTGAAGAAAATAATGCCATGTAAAAACTTTTAAGGAATGTATTGACAAAAAATAAACAAGGAATACTTGATAACTAAAAACAGAATGAAAACAGGAATCATAGGGACAAACAGCTGGTAGATTCAACTGTCCCCTGCTTTGCGTGGAAGGCTACACTGGGTTCATGCTACTGAACACAATGGGCAGGGACTAGTGATGGTGGGTCACGGAAAGCTCTTGGAAAGCAAGAGGACTGACTCCATCCCAGTGAGAAATGAGAGAGAGCCGCTCTTCAGAGCGGGACGAGAAGGAAGCCTGTGAGCGCAGCACTGGCTCTGGAAGGCACACAACTCTTTCTGTAGAATGTAACTTAAAAGAATTTCTGAACAACGTTTCAAAAACTAGTGCAGATCAAACCCACAAAGGAAATAAGGAGCCATCAACAAGACCTCAACAGCCAATCATAATGCTGAACAGGCAGCACAGACTTTCACTGTTTAATGTGCTTCTGATATAAACAAAACTTGAAAACAGGACCAGGAAACAAGAATAGGCAAAATTATGCTAGACAGTCTTGAGGAAAAAAAAAGAGGGGGGGCTTCTAAAAGTGAAAAATAACCACTGTAAATGAAAAAAGTATACAATGGACACATTTAAGAAATTAAATATAAGAGAATTCATGAGATGAAATACAAAGCCCAGGAGACACTTTTGTCTGTAGGCTGAGATAGAAAATACTAAGAATGAAACATGAGACAGAGTGGGAATAGCTAACAGGCATAAGGCAGAGTTCCAAGAGAAGAGGAAAAAAGCACATTTGGGAAGGTAGTAGCTGAGAATTTTCCAAATTCATGAAAGAATGTAAATCATAAGCTAGAGAGCTTAACACAGTCTAAGCACAGCACACAGACGCTCCAAGAGAAAAGCACAGCTCTGAAGCAGGAGCTGTAAGGCAGACAGCTGACTTCTCCATGCAGCAATGGATTCTGAGATGTACTGGAAGGACATCCAGAACAGAGAAAGAAGAACCAAGGCCCAGGGCTTTCTAGTCAGGGGATGACCTTCATGGACACACAGCATAAAGACACTCCTAGGAAGCATTAACCACCAACAGCAAAAGAAAATAAGAAGGATGTAATTTTGGTGGAAGAGTGTAATTCCAACTGAGAAGGGGTTAGCAAAGCTCATGTTAAACATCTAGAAGATTATCAACAATTTCTGACTATGTAAAATAATTTGTAGAGTTAGGAAAAGATTACTAAAGTATTAGATGATAGTTAAAATATTAGGAGTTTAAAATGTCTTAGAAGACAATAGAAAGAAGTATTAATTGTAGATTTTTAAAAGTAAAATAATAGCCTACAACTCCCCAGTTATCTGAAACATGAGATAAATGACAGAAAAGGAAAATCACCACCACCCTCCAGGACAGAAGGTAAGGTCAAAGGAGGAGTGTACAGAGATAGACCACACCCACTTCTCCCACGGACCACACCCACTTCTCCCACCAACCACACCCACTTCTCCCACCAACCACACCCACTTCTCCCACCAACCACACCCACTTCTCCCACCAACCACACCCACTTCTCCCACCAACCACAACAAATGCATATGGAACAAGCTCCAAAACTGAAAAGACAGAAACTGCAATGAGATTTAAGGAAGTCCTAGGTCCAGACTATTCAGAAAGGTGAGAACTCACACACAGAACAAGAAGCATTACTCTCTAATATAAACTGATACAGAGGGCTGACTCAATTCATCAGGAAGACAGTTTTCAACCTACCTGCATCTAATAACTTTACCTCAAAACTCTCAAAACAAAAACTGATAAACCTTAAGGAATAAAATAAAGCCACAGTCACAGTGGATGATTATTTCAGTAGGTGAAGAAAACTCTGGATGCAAACAATTTTTTAAAATTTAACTAATGAGCTTGCCCTCAAAGATGTATACAGACCTCTGACCCCAACTTGAAAATACTCTATCAAGAACAAGACTCTAACAATTATCTTCATGATAGGCATAAACAAGCCTCAAAAATTTGAAAACATGGTAACACACAGACTGTATTCTTTGACTATATGCAACTTGGAAATCAAAAGCAACAGCTGACTAGAAATAAAACCACCTGTAAACAAGACAGGCATCAAACAAGACAATGAACAGAGACTGCTGACCAAATCCAGTGTGGTGAAGCTAACCTGTTCCAGAAGCAATTTACAGTCCTAAATATTTTAATGGTAAAAGAAATTCTGCAGCTGAATAACCAAGGTTCTGAATACCAGAGTCAGCTCCTGGGTCAGGGAGAAGAATTAGCACCAACAGGACAGGCAGGAAGCATCAGAAGCCAGTCCTGGAAAGAGACAGAGGAAGGCCTGGGCTTCAGCCTGAAGACGACAACAGGAAGCCGCACAGAGACGACAGCACTCCAGCTAATAAAGGCACCACAAATCCTCAAGGCCAGGACCTTGAAAAGTTAGTGGTCAAGTTCTTTAAAATACACCACTTAGCAAAACACACTAGAAAGAGTTGGTTTTTTTTGTTTTGTTTTGTTTTGGTTTTTCAAGACAGGGTTTTTCTGTGTAATAGCCCTGGCTGTCCGGGAACTCACTCTGTAGCCCAGGCTGGCCTAGAACTCAAGAAGGCCTGCCTCTGCCTCAGGAGCACAGGGATCAAAGGCATGGGCCACCACCACCTGCTGTCGATTTGTTTTGAACAGTCTTTTAGATATTAAAAACAATCCTTCTAGGAGGGAGACATGGAGGCAACATCTCAGATCTTAGGAAAGGGAGCATCCATGTTGATTCTATAACCGGTAGGCTTACAAGTGATGCAGTTGATGTAAAGTGAGATTTGTTTTTGTCTGTTTTCAACTGGGGACTGAGAAGAGAATCTTGAGCTACAAATACCCAACCTGCACCTGGTGTAGACCTGCTTCCTAGGGGAAGAGTAAGAGCAAGAACCTAAAACCACCACCACCACTGTTGTGTTTTAAAATGGTGGGAAGGAGTCACACCATACAACAGGGCTCATGTAGGAGATTTATTGAGGGGAGGGGAGAGAGAAGGGGGCAGGGATTGGGGACTGAGAGTGAAGGAAAAGAGAAAGAAAGAGACTGGAGGTGGGCAAGGCCCACCTTTTTTTTTTTTTGGTTTTTCGAGACAGGGTTTCTCTGTGTAGCTTTGCGCCTTTCCTGGAACTCACTTGGTAGCCCAGGCTGGCCTCGAACTCACAGAGATCCGCCTGGCTCTGCCTCCCGAGTGCTGGGATTAAAGGCGTGCGCCACCACCGCCCGGCTAAGGCCCACCTTTTATAAGGAAACATATTGAATGCACACCGGGGGTGCTCTTAGTAGCTGCGGCTGAGGTTATATCTTGTCAGGACACTAAGGGCAGGCCAGTATAGCTGCCTGAATGCTAACCACCAGCACCCACATTCGCACGCACATGCACACACACACACTCAGTTTCCCTTGTCCTATAGCACAAAATCACCTACACACACATGGCCTGCCATTTTTGACAGCCAAACACCACCACACATACACACACACACAGATTCCCGTGTGCTCCAACCTAAAATCACCACAGACACCAACACACCTCCAGTATGCTCCAAATGAAATTACTACCAACATACACATACATAAACAGAGCCTCCCATGTGCCCCAGCCTAAAATCACCAACACACACATACACTCACAACACAGATACTCGCAGACTCATATGTGAGCTAACCTAAAATCAACAACAGCAAGCACAAAGGACCTCTGAGTACTTCAGTGTAAAACCATCATGACCAACATAAATATATACACAGCCTTGCATACGCTCCAGCCTAAAATAAACAACCACCAATACAGGAGACAGTGCTTCCCATGTGAGCTGGGCTAAAATCATCATCACATCTACACACACAGCTCCCATGTGCTGCAACCTACAATCACCACCATCACACACAGCCTCCTGTGTGTTCCAGCCTAAAATCACCACCACCAGCAACACATAAACAGCCTCCGTGTGTTCCAGCCCCAAATCACCACCACCACCACCATCACACACACAGAGCCCTGCCTATGCTCTAGCCTAAACTACACGCTTTACTCTACTTCACATAATTTTCACAGTAACCCTGTTAAGGACACTGTACCGCACTCACATAAGCAGTAAGCAGAAAAGCCAGTATTTGAATCCATAGAGTTGAATCCCCAAGTTGGGACTCCACCTGAAAGTGAACCCTCAATCTGTCAGAGCTCTTCCTTACAGCTGGCAGGAAAAACTCAAAATGTTGTTGATGCAGAAAAAAATGTTTTAACTGGTAACTCCAATCTTAGCTGGTTCATTTAAAAATATCACAAACTTCAAACTGCATGACTGCATCTCTCACTGCACAGGTAACAGCACTATAATTCTGAAAACTCAAAGGGAGAAACCCCAAAGCCAGTCAGTGCTGGTTTCTCACAGAGGAACATACCAAAGCACAGCGTTTACTCTGCTGTGGAAGGATGTATGCTTACAAGACATGCTGCTATTAAGACATGCTACCACAAGACAGTCAGGAAGAACCCTGCAATGACATGCTCCTGCCAAAAAGGAAAGCCCCATTCTTTTCTGGAATCTCAAACAGTTCCAAACAGTCTTGCTTTTTTGCCACTGAAGAAAAAGGCAGCTGCCAGGAAAGGTTTTAACCACCACTTCTGGAGGCTGAAAAGGCAAAATGGATTTCTTGAAAACATGGGTTAAGAAATAAGCAAGAATGTTTTGTACTCTTCTGTTGAATTTCTTATCAAACACTACTGGGTGGCCCCAAACAGTAACAGTAGAAACATTAATCTCATAAAGTAAATGAACTCAAATCCTTGCATGCTGAAGGTATGTCAGGTGTTCTTGATGAGTTGGTGAGCCAACAGTTTCTGTTTAGTGGTGTGGTGCTATGTGCACATGCTTTACTTACTCCCTGCACCCTGTAGACACACGGGGCGGCACAGTGTACTTGCAGTCCATGATCATGGTCAGTGTCTCGCTGTCGTTGGCCTCTTGGAAGGGTGGTTGCCCACACACCAGCATGAAAAGGATCACGCCCAGGCTCCATATGTCTACAAACCAAAGAAAACATTTAAATACCAGAGTATCTAGAAAGCCAAGAACATTAGGATGAAGAAAGGTAGGCTAACAAGTATTTTATCCTTAAAGTAAAAATACACAAAGCAAACTGCAAAACCTCAACAGAGCCAGAGGGATCAGCCTGTCTAATAGGAGGAGACTAGGAAATTAGTGTGCCCAGGCTTCTAAGCCAAGGGACAAGGTCTGCTTTCCCCAACTGACTACAGCACACCCAGCATTAAAACTGTGAGGCTGGAAAGGATTTGCCTGAGGTCAGCATTATCTCAGTTGTTTTCTACTTCACTCTGGGGTGGTAACTGGGTCACACAATTCCTGAGAGTTATAGATGAAAAAACTGCAGCTCAAAGACAAGCAAAATATGGCTATCACACAAACCAAACAAACGCCCAAACTGGGTCTGTGCCACATACACAGTAGAACAAGGCTCAAAGTTTAAGTGCTCAGCCTGCCAACAGTAAGAGCTGCTCAACAGAAAGGGTAAGACACGTGGGACTGGTAGAGACAGCTCAGCTGTGAGGAGCACTGGCTGCTCTTGCACAGGACTGGAGTTTGAGTCCCAGCACCCACATGGTGGCTAACAGCCTCCTGTAACTCCAGCTCCAGAGGACCTGATGCTCTCTTTTGGCCTCTGTGGGCACTGCACTCATATGTGCATCTCCCAACACACATTATTTAAGAAATGTGTGTGTGTGTGTGTGTGTGTGTATATGTTTTAAAGGAGAAAGGGTAAGTTTCTTGTCATTAAACTATACAGGTATTGCCCAGATTTGGACAAGCTGTTGTCCTGACAGGACCCTGCCCAGTGTGAAACTGCATGAACTAACATCTGCTCACACGCACTTTAGGCAGTTTTCTGGATACATGGGCTCAGAGGAGAACTGAAGCACCGTGGGGTCTGCCATGCCATCATACCTGCTAAAACTGCCATTTTCATGTAAGCCTAAAACACCCCAAATAATGGAAGTTCCAAGCTAAGAAAATTAAAATTATTAATCAAATATCATTTCCTTGGTCCAAATGAAAAAGGAGGGCACCAAGTGAGAATCCGCCTCAGGTGTGTTGTCGCACTTTGCTGTGGGTGTGCTCATGAAAAGCCACTGAAATTAAGGCACACACACAGACCACTCCACTCAGTCTAATCCCTAGGCCGTGTCTGGCCCTGCCCTCAACACTGGCTGTTTTGGTCTTGGACCTCAGAGATCTCTTACTCAAGGAACTTCAGTAATGACAAATAGCCATTGAGAAGTATTGAAAATCTCCATTCTAGTCAGATCTTAATAAGGTTTTTAAAGGAAATGTATGTAACTGATTTTTAACTTAAACTCTCCATGTACAACTTTTAAAAGATTTGTATGTATGTGTACGAGTGTTTTACCTATATGTATGTATGTATGTATGTATGTATGTATGTATGTATGTATGCCACATTCATGCAGTGCCATGGAGGTCAGATGAGTGTTGGATCCCCTGGAACTGAAGTTACAAACAGCTCAGCATCATGATAGTCATGGAATCACCCTCTGAAACTGTAAGCCCACAATAAAATTTTCCTCCTATAAGTTGCCTTGCTCTCTAGCACATGAACACTTTTTGTCTACTGCATTGTTAGAGGGGCAACTAATAAAGAGATCAACACAACAAGCAAACCCCACAGTTTGGCTAGTGCTTATATCGTTTCTCTATACAGAACCACTTAGAAGCCGAGGAACTTAAGAATACAGCCCTAATTAGGTAATGTGCAAAATTTTGAAGCATTTTGGTAAGAACCACATGATAACACAGCAGACAGCTTCAGAAGTAGACAGCCCTCCCATGAAGAAGACGGATGCACAGGTTTGTCTTTATCACCCACAGGGTATCTTCACCGATGTATATAGTAGCATTGTGTAGGAATCTACAGATCCCTACAGTATATACATGGGAATGTCAGTGAAGGCACTGTTCTAGTGCCTTCTGTTGCTGTGACAAAACACTCTGACAGAAAGCAACTTACAAGAGCCCAGGATTTATCTGGCTGACACTCTGGGCTACAGGTCATCACTGAGGGAAGTTAAGGCCAAAACTCAAGCAGAGACTTGAAGGCAGAAAGCCATAGAAGAACACTGCGGGCTAGGTCACTCTCTGGCTCATGATTAGTTAGCTTTCTTATACAGCCTAGGGTCACCTGCCCAGGTAATGCTACCCACAGTTGGTTGGGCCCTCCCACATCAATTAATAAGATAATCCCTCACAGACATGCCCAGAGTCCAACCCAATAAAGACAATTACTCAAATGAGACTCTTTTATGTGATTCTAGGCTGTGTCAAGTTGACAGTTAATGCTAAGACGGTCACATAGCAGTACTATTATCATAGATACACAAGGACTTCAGTGTTCTAGAGTTGATATGGGGTGTCCTGGAACTGAGCCTCTGTGGACACCGAAGACTGTGTTTCTATTCCAGATTTGTTTTTCTTCTCTCTTTTGTCCTTGAATGATTTTACTTTTTACAATATAAGGGCCAAAGGAAAATGATAAAAACAGGCTACTAGCCCGGCGTGGTGGCACCTACCTAATACACCAGACTCAAGGCTGATGCAGGTATAAGGGCCACAAGTTGAGATCAGATTGAGAGAGAACTCATCTCACAACAAAACAATGACAACAAACAGACCATGAAACAAATGTTGGAATATTCACAAATGATTTTAAATTTTTAAATTTTAAAATGTGTGGATTTGGCTGGAAGGATGCCTCAATGATTAAATACTTACTCTGAAAGCATTAAGAATGGAGTTGGTATCCCCAGAACCTACATAAATGTCAAATGGGCATGATAGCCTTCCTACATCTATCCTTGGAAAGTGGAGATAGCATCCCCAAAATAAGCTGTCTAGTGATTAGCCATATCTAGAGATTAGCCAGATCAGGGCACTCTGGTTTGATTAAGAGACCATGCTTCACTGAATAAGGTGGAAGAGCTATCATGGGTAATTCTGCACATCAACCTTGGGCATCCACATACATGTGAATACATACATACATACATACACACACACACACACACACACACACACAGAAAAATGGAAGAAAAAAATGTGTGACAGTAATCTATATCCCCATGAAGCTGCTATGGGCAGTGAACGGATAAACACTGAAACCTTGCTAAGAGTTTAACACAAATGTTCAAAGGCACCCTGACTCATCAACAGCAGGAACTGTCCTGGGCACAGGAGAGGCAGAGATGAGTGACTCTTGTCTTGACAAGATTCTCATCAGACATGGAGATGTAGAGTTTGGAGTTTGCCCAGCTGGTTTTTGGTCTTGCTTTGGTCCAGTATTTCCTCACTATGCTCCCTTCCCTGTGTTTGGAATGGTAATGTATATCCTGTGCTATTATATGTTGGGAGTATGTGGTCTGCTTTTTGATTTTGATTTTACAGGAGATTACAGTTAAGAGATTAAAGGAATCTCAGAAGAGACTTTGAACTTTAGACTTTTAAACACTGTTAACACGGTGATAGACTATCGGGACTTTTGAAGTTGGACTAAATGCATTTTGCATATGATATTGTTACAAGCTTATGGGGGCCAGGGAGTGGAACGTGGTAGTTTGAATGTAATTGGCTCCCATAATCTCATAGGGAGTGGCACTACTAGGAGGTGTTGCTTTGTTGGAGTGGGTATGGCCTTGTTGGAGGAAGTGTGTCACTGTGACTGTGGGCTTTGAGGTTTCCTATGCTCAGGATACTGCCCAGTGTCTCAGCCAACTTCCTGTTGCCTGCAAGATGTAGGACCCTCGGCTCCTACTCCCAGCACCACGTCTGCCTACATGCTGCCATGCGCCACCCCAATTAAATGTTTTCCTTATTAGAGTTGCCATGGTCATGGTGTCTCTTCACAGCAATAAAAACCCTAACTAAGACAGGAACTCAAGCAGGACAGGAACCTGGAGGCAGGAGCTGATACAGAAGCCATAGAGGAAAGCTGCTTACTGGTTTGTTTTCACGGATTGCTCAGTCTGCTTTCTCATAGAACCCAGGGCCACTAGCCTAGGGATGGCACCACCCACAATGGGCTGGGCCAGTCCCCATCAATCACTGATTAAAAAAATGCCTAAATGCTTGCCTACAGCTGATCTTATGGAGGCGTTTTCTTAATTGAGGTTCCCTCCTCTCAGATGACTTTAGCTTGTGTCAAGCTGACATAAAATTATCCAGCATGGAGTCAATAAGTGTTGCAAATGGTAGGGCCACAAGAAGGAACACAGATGATGCCAGCACATGCTCCAGCTGCCAGACATGGGGCTATCAGATTTGTTTTGCCTGCTGGGTTTCAGTCTTTGATCCAATCTTTCCTTTTTCTCCTCCTACTCCTCCTTTTCAGACGGGGAATGTTCACTCTACACCACTGCATATTGAAAATATTTCACTTTCTTTTTTATTATACAGCATTCATAGCTAAGAGACATTAGTCTCAAAGGGACTTTGAACTTTGGACCTCAGAACAGTGCAGGGACTAAACACATTTTACATTAGAAATGATCATGAGTCTTTGGCTTAAATCTGGACCGCTCCCCCACTGGCTCATGTTCTGAGCACTTACAGCTTATGGTGCTATTTTGAAGTCTGTGGCACCTTTAGGGGGTTAAGCTGGCAAAAGTAAGTCAGCAGGAGCAGGCCTTCGAGGGCACACCTGGCCCCGCTTCTAGGCTTTACTCTCTCTGCTCCTTCACCATTGTGAGCAGCTCTGCTGTACACTCCCACCAGAGAGTTGCTAGGCCATACCTTCCCTGGTATGATGTAATGAAATGCCCCGAAACCATGACCTAAAACAAATCTTTCCTCACTTGAGTTGCTTCTTTCAGGTCATCTGATCACAGTGCTGAAAAAAGCTTATTAGGTCCCCAGGAACAGATGCCTGGCATGAAGGCCACTAAAGATGACACCAGGAAAATTACCTCTCACAAGCTGGAGAGGGAGTGACATTACC